CTCTTTAAGCATGCTGCACTTTGGGAGACAGGTTGTATTTAAGTGATTTCTTGATTCAACAGGTCTGGCAGTAATCAGGCCTGCGTGTGGCTAGTGAAATTTAACTCAGCTTTCTAAAATGATGTGGTTAATCACAGTTCTTTCATGATTTAAGAGGGGGGGGCAAATAATTTTTCACGTAGGGCCGGGCAGGTTTGGACAGCTTTTTTCCCTTAATAAATTAAATTATAATTTAAAAACTGCATTTTGTATTTACTTGCATTATCTTTGCGTAATATTAAAATTGGTTTGATTATCTGAATCTTTTAAGTGTGACAAATATGCAAAAAATTAAAAAAACAGGAAGGGGGCAAAAACCTTTTCACGGCACTGTATATAATACAAATGATTGGTTGTTGTCCAGCAGTGTATTTAATTTCTTAGTCAATTAAACGAGATAAAAAAATTAAAAATAAAACCTTAGACCATTAGACCAAAAAACAAACAAAAAGGTCTTAAATCTGACATTTCTGTTCCCCTCACTTCTAAAATGATGGCTAAATGATGGCCCCTGGTCGCCTGTGATGTTACTTGAGCTTATCATCTTTCAAATTCATTACATTTAATTCCAGGATCTATAAATCCATGCAGCAGTGTTTGAGATGGTTGAGCAGATTAAGGTGATGGTGTGGGTCTACATCTACATCCACCTGTCTGTTTCACTTTCTCTCATCGTATATCAGCTAACAAGGGATGTTAATGTTTCAGACAGCTGCGCAATTTCAGCTCTTGTGACAGTCTCTATATTTGCTGGGCTGAAAAGATATTTAAATATGTGGTTCCCTAGTTCCTCACCGGAGTAAAATATGAGCTGCTCAGTGTGCCAGCACTATCTTGATTAGATAGATTAGACACAGCAACACAAAGGCTGGTTGGGTAATCTGCTTTGACTGAGCTGGTTATAGGTTTGTCCTGGTTTTCATTCTGGCCTTGCCTATGTTCACACTTTGAAGTCTCCACGGAGGGAACGCCAGAGCAAAATGCTTGCAAAATGTTCTTCAATATAGAAATGTATCTGGTGAATGAGGCACTGAAATTGAGACATGAAAGACTAGCTTGTCTAAATACTGCATTTACAGCATTAACTGTTGCTTTCATTTAATCATTGATATAACAGGAAATGTGCTTGTATAACATTTTTGGCCTGTTTGGATAATATGCAAATGGAACACAACCATTTGTTTTATATTTAAGACAAAATACATGTTGGATAGTTATGTTTTTATTCATGCTTTCATAAAGACACTTTGAGGCTAGCATTTCACTTTAAACAACGCCCGCACGTAACCTTTAAAAGACTATCAGGAAATTAAGATTAAGGGATTAAGTTCATTTCTGATTGACATAATATAAATTACTGGTTGATATGTATTATCCCAAATGACATCTCATAACTAAATTCCACTGTGAGATTTTGTGCCTGTGTTTTAGTTAATGCCAATTAATTAAAAACGAGGTTACAACAGATGCGTTTGTAGGAAATACCTGACATTTAAAACTCTAAAATCACTGCCCAACTCAATGTGAAGAAACAATGGCATCACATTTAATGAAGAAGAAAATATCTACTTAAATCACAATAATATCATGTTCATAATCAAAAAAATATATGGTGTTCCATAACAGGCTATGTGGCTTAATATCCAAACATCACTGAATGCATCTAAATAATCCGTTTAAATATACATTTAAATGTATCATTAAATAAGATAAATTAAAATAAGAAGCATTTAACTCAATAAAAAACCATACTAAAGAATTGAAAAGAATTTACACTAATGGTAAGCGACTGAAATATCTGTTTCATAATAAACAACAAGATAGCTATCGTTCAACTGAACTGGAGACTCAGGTGGACCTAAAAATAAAACTTGAGTGTTCTTGAGAGTATTCTTACACACATAAAACACTGAAAGCTTAATAACACAGCCAATACAGCTGACCGCACTTTCAGGTGGCGTTACACCATTCTGTGCAATTAATGGCTACTAAATCCAAAACCTGCCTTGACACTCTTCATTAGATGTTTAATGCTAGATAAAAATAGTTTGACGCATTGATGTATTCAATGCAAAACAGCTTTTCCAATTGAAATATTCTCCATTACTAACTGCATCTATCTGTAAAGATGGTTTTAACCTTTTAAAGCCTAGCGGATTCCCTCTCCTTTGGCCCCGTTAAAGGGTTACACACCATAAAAATGACCATCGCATCACGAACAGCTCAAAAGCTCCAGATTTTCAAATAGTTGTATCTCGACCAAATATTGTCCGATCCTATCAAACCATACACCAATGGAAATATTATTTATTCAGCTTTCAGATGACGTACAAACTTGACACTTAAGACTGGTTTTGTGGTCCAGGGTCACATATGTCCAATTTGAGTGACAGAAGGGAAGCCCTTTCGAATGGCTCAAGCCTAGTTTAGGCTCAAGCTCCAACTTTTAGCTCGACAAAATACATCAACAACAGCACAACGTTTTGCTTCTCAGAAGCTGAGAAAGGGGAAGGCAGTCTCTCGGTGAGGGGAAGATCAACGGGGCTCGTTTGAAGGGAAGAAAGATTACTCGAGCGCAGCGGGTAAGAGGCATTAAGGGCTCAGATGTGGGAAAGTCTGGTGAAGGTGGTGGGGATGGTGATCTAGAAGCTTCTACATCTATTGCAGGTGATCTCAGGGAGGAGACGCAGGTTTAAGATCACTCACGGTAGAATACGTATTCGGTGTAGTTGGCCCAGATTTTGTCATCAGTCTGCTCGTGAGCGAAGGCGCACGTCCCCGTGGAGTTGCAGGCCACCATGTGGAAGCCAGCATCCGCCAACCTATCAAAAGCCTGCTCCAAGAAAGTAAATTTTAGGTAATAGCGCGCCGTGTAGCGCTCAGGCGGGCGATCGGGGTCGCGGCTCTCGTTCAGCGTTTCCCCGAAAACCTCCTTAGCGAGAGACGTCTTCCCACACACCATAATCCGAGCCACTCGTCGAAACTTGGCGTCTGTTTGGCTATCACGACCCAGAGTGTAGGAGCCCCGGTAGCCGATGGTGATGAACCCGGAGCACTTTCCGTCGCTGGAGCAGGCAACGGCCCCGAGGCTCCGGGCGAAGTCGGCCCCTGGCGAGGGCTCCTCGGGGTCGCTCTGGCAGCCCTCGTCGCCTAGAGAGTTCTGCTTACTGAGCTTTGGTGCCAACAGCTTAACAAGTTCAGGGAGGTTGAAGAACTCAGCCTCTCGCTGCAGCCGTCCTCGCTCCGGGAAATGGTCCGGAAGGACGAGCTGCTGGTCTCGCATGTAATCCAGAATATAACGGAACAGGAATCCGTCTCTGTCGACGAAATAACGACCCTTGGTGTCGCGCGCCAAGCTCTCGGTGCTCTTCTGGCTGAACATCTCCCACAGGAGGGAGTCCGGCACACTTGTTAAAGTCGAGTAGCGGGTGATATACACCTGACCCCCGACGTTCAGCTCAATAATTTCCGGAAAGGCCAGTTCCTCGACAGGAAGGCCACTTGCATTGGCAGGTAAAGCCATGTTTCAGAATACAAGACAAATACTTGATGAAAGAACGGAAGACTTAGGAACAGAAATTCACACTTTGTACATTAATGTAAGTGTAGTTTAAAATATCAATATTGTAATGTCAGATATATCCCAGTGAACTGACAATACGTCTCCATTGCACCATCACAGTCGCAAAACACAATTTATGCATAATAATCCGTCAGTAATGAGTTTTAAATCACGTAAATTTGCGCACGTGGCTCAGAAAAGCTCACCAATGTCAAACGCTGCCAAGCAAAAATGGATTCTGCATGGAGTTTTCAGATTATGTCCCTTTCATTTGTCCATGTCCATAATCGAAGGTCCCAAACATACAGACAAGGTCCGATTCACAGACACCTACCGTCAGTCACACACACAGGGAAAATGCCATCTAAAGAGCCGTCTGTTGAGTAAACGTCAGTAAAATGTCCCCTGAAGAAACCGATGGAAATATTAAAGCGTCATGAGGCTGAGAGTCTCTCGCGCTTTCTCTCGCTGAGCGCACCGCAACCGGACCATAATATTCCCGCGAGCCGGCCACGCCCCTACACCGCGACGTCATCAGCGCTGACTCCGCCCCCCGCGGTTGTGGCATCATCCGCAAATACTTCATACACGAGATGAAAACTCTTGTTTAATTACCAAAAGTCTTGCACTTTATTGTCTCTCAAACGAATCAGTGCAGAGAATAATACATGCTGAGGCATTTAATAAAACTTTATTTACTTGGTGACTTGGCTAATTACTTATGTATTTATTATTTTTATTAGGCTACTTATATTAACTTACATTAATAAAAAATATAGTTTTTTATTGTCAGTCGCATCGTTTATCTACTATTAACATTATTATTGCTGTTACCAATATTATTCAGTTTGGTGGTGTTTTCTGGATTCTGTTCACATTAGTTAATGTGTCAATGATACATTTTCAATCATGAATCATCTAAACAACATTCAGATTAATTTTAGAAGTTTAGAAGGTACCAATAAAACACACACAACGAAACAGATTTGAAACAAAATATTAAAACAGAATGTAACACTGACATCTAGTGCATAAAAAGCTCTGACCAGATGTTCCAGAATCACACGCACACCAGTTTGTCTTTGGTAACTAATACTTCTAATACTTAGAGAAATTAATCAGATAGGCATAGGATTATGAATTTGTGCAATAGAAAGACACGGCCAATTCAAACTGAACTGTCCTTTGTTGAACATTATGTATTCAACATTTTAATTACTAATGGTAAAAATATGTGAACCTTAGAGAAAACAAACACATTTGAATAAATTCAGGTTTATCTCACAGTTAAGAAGTTAAGCTCACAGTTAATGTAACACAGTTAAATCACAGTTTGATTACATTTTAAATGGCTGATAATCAGATTAGTTACTTTTTCATTGGTTACATGATTACATATTATTTACACAATGACAGAAAGTGTATTGCTTCACCCTAATTCTTCTTTTTTTATTTCTTAAATTTTCCTAAAAACGTCTACTGCTTGCTTATATACAGTACATTTGGAAAGCCCTCCAGCTTTATGGAACTGCACACACACAGCCACTAGTCAGACTATAATTACACAGAAAAGATTCATTGCACTTTTAAGGTTATATATGCAAGCATATAAAAATACATGTGCAGTATAAACTCTATTTAATGACTGCAAAGGATTACACGTCAAATCTAAAAAAAAAAAGCATTTGGAGATACAGTATGTTTTCCTCAACACTGCATATCTAATCAACTCCTGACAAACACATTTTCATTGTTATTTGAATTATTACTCCATGGATTATATGTCTTTGGAGGGCCTTTGTCTTTCAAACACATTAAAATGCACAAATTTGCATCATTTGCAGTGTAATCCACACATAGCCAAACAGAATGGATTCACAAGCATCCGAATATAAAATATCGAATTGAATTTTCACCTGGGATTTCACAATTTTAAGTAAATCTCAATAATTGAACAACATTTACATGATTACAGTTCTGAGATGTGGGTAAAAACAAATAAAGCAGTTCTACTTTTACCGTTTAAGTGTTTTATTTTGATTGTTTATATTTTAAAATGAGTTAATTGGTTAAACATGTTTAATTTGAGATTTTCATGATTAATTATCAGCTTTTCATCAACTCACAAACCCTCTGCAGTTCATTCATGAACCCCAGTCGGGAAACCTTGTGTAATGTAATGTTTAATACACTTCATGATGTTGATAACAAAAACAAAATATTATATTTTCTTACCAGTTAGGTCAAAAGTAATCCAAAAGTAGTCTAAATGCATGCATAATCTGACAGATGATGTTATAAAAACAATTTTAGTCATCTAATTTGTAATCAGTATGAGGTAATCTACCCAGTACATCATAAGAAGATTTGGGGTATGGGTTTATGTGCTACAACAAAATATCCAAATATCGTCAGATTATATTTACCGAATCTCAAGGGAACCAATGGCCTTCTGGGTTTTGACATCATGGCTGCAGCACTCTGTTGGCTTCTAATCTATTGGCATTATTTTGACAAAACAAGTATTTCCATATCTAGATGTTAGAATAATTCACATATTTCATAAGTACATTAGGACTACACTGTTACTGAAACACTGATCGCCGACAGATGACAGAGGATCTTGATAAAATCAGTGCAAGTCTGTTAACCTTTGACGGAAGTCTGTTGTTTTCCTACAAACTCCTTCACCCAAGAGAGAGCCATTACTGGTTATCTCAGTGTTAAACTAGAATATCATAGTTCAGTCAACAACACACTGAAATAGTTCTGCTCAAATACCAGCTAACACGATTAATGATGTAGTAATAATGACATTTATGATGGTTATCTGTTCAGATAACCTGATAATCTGGTCAACACCCAGGTCAAGTAACCGAGGATTGTTGGTTTGATGAATGAAACTCTGGCACTTAACACCGGGTTGCTCCAGCTGGGACTGAACCTATAATAAGCTCATGGTGCCGTAATATAGTGACATCCCATGAGCATTGTGGAAATAAATCCTGATCCAGGAGTCCTGATCGATGCGTGACAAGAAGATTCAGTTATTATCTGTCGTTGTGAGACTGTGTTTGATACTGTTAGGGTGGATGGAAATAACAAGGTAGACTGGCAAAAAGAGCAGTAAGACTGTGTTCAGTGGCTATTCAGTCAGGGGTGAAGAGCCTTGGAAAAAAGGTGAACGTGATGGTCACTCCAGAGATCACATGTGGAGATCTTGCAGAAGGACAAGCATCACTGTAACACTCCACCCATCTGGGCTTTATGTCAGAGTTTTATTTGCATAAGTTTCAATGGTCAGATTTTGTTTGAACTTCATCCCTACTTCTTCTGGACTTTATCTGATCTTTGTCTCTTCAAACACAAACTCCAGCAAGTGTTGTTATACCAAAGCAAAACCAATGGAAATTACTGCTTTTACTTACTTTGTCAAGACAAACTTTGATGTTGGCCTGAGAAAGCCTTGCCTGAACAGATTTAAAGTTTAGATAGATAGACAGACAGACAGACAGACAGACAGACAGACAGATAGATAGATAGATAGACAGATAGACAGACAGATACAGTCCGGTAGGTGGCGGTAGGACACCATGAACCTCCAATGAATCGCAGTAGAAGAAGCAGAGGAAGAAGTGACGTCTGTCCGCTGCTGACGCGGGTGCGTAACGTCCAGAATCCACTATGGCGGAAAGGTAGTGGCGACTCACACTTTGCCGGTAATATCGACATCGGATAGCAGATATCTGAACGATTCACCATTCTTCGTTTGCGGCTCACGCGCAAACATCCCATTTCCTCGTGCACTCTCTCTGATCTTCGTGGAACGGACGCAAACATGCCTAATATCAAGATTTTCAGCGGCAGCTCCCACCAGGATCTGTCTCAGAAGATCGCGGACCGTCTCGGACTGGAATTAGGAAAAGTAGTGACGAAAAAGTTTAGCAACCAAGAGACCTGGTGAGTTTCTGGAAATTGCCTTAACGTGTTTTATGTGACTGCTTTAACATGTTGAAGCGCCTTTTCTCGCGGGCCGCTGGGAGTTGTAGTTCAGATGGCGCCTGCCAGCGCTCCACGTGCGTTTGAGTAAACTACAACTCCCAGAAGTCTGCACGCCAGGCGAGGCGATGTCTATTTGCTTTAGTGTGAACCTACATTTTATGACTAATATTGCCATTTAATGTGATTTTTTTTTAACACTTATTTAGGAATGGACATACAGAACTGCTTAAAGAGTGCAGTGACCCTGAATCATTCACTTGAGCTTCACCGGTAGCAACCAAGAGACCTGGTGAGTTTCTGGAAATTGCCTTAACGTGTTTTATGTGACTGCTTTAACATGTTGAAGCGCCTTTTCTCGCGGGCCGCTGGGAGTTGTAGTTCAGATGGCGCCTGCCAGCGCTCCACGTGCGTTTGAGTAAACTACAACTCCCAGAAGTCTGCACGCGAGGCGATGTCTATCTGCTTTAGTGTGAACCTACATTTTATGACTAATATTGCCATTTAATGTGATTTTTTTTAACACTTATTTAGGAATGGACATACAGAACTGCTTAAAGAGTGCAGTGACCCTGAATCATTCACTTGAGCTTCACCGGTTATCGGTTTGCGGTTTGAACGCAGAGAAAGATTATTTGATTTCATGGCTTGCTTTCATGTCGTACTGTACTTTTACAAAACAAATACAGTGGTGTTATAATGTTTCAGTGATGCTTTCATAAGGCAGTAGTACAGTAGCTTTGGTCTAAGACGCTACTTAGTGATTACAATATTCAGATTGAGTTTTATTTACATGTTGCTCCAAGATTACATGATTTTATTACAGTATGATGTCAGTTTAAGAAAACATGGCAATGCAGATCATGATACACTGCTGTTTGTGTTTGTCTTCTGCAGTGTGGAGATTGGAGAGAGTGTCCGAGGAGAGGATGTGTACATCGTCCAGAGCGGCTGTGGTGAAATTAATGATAACCTTATGGAGCTTCTGATTATGATAAACGCCTGCAAAATCGCATCGGCCTCTCGAGTCACAGCGGTCATCCCATGCTTCCCTTACGCCCGGCAGGATAAGAAGGACAAGGTGGGACGAAGGCTATGAAATCTGTGCCATTGCCCGTCAGTGAACGTCAAAGGAGGAGATTTTTTGTGCATGCTGTTGATAGGAAGTCCGTAGCGTGTGTCACTTTGCTTTTTCACTCAAGATGTTTGATCTTCTCCTTTGTTTTCTGCAGAGTCGGGCGCCCATTTCTGCCAAGTTGGTGGCAAATATGCTGTCTGTGTCTGGTGCCGACCACATCATTACCATGGATCTGCATGCATCTCAAATACAGGTGGGCTTTATAGCACTCAAAAGGATTTAGTGATAAAACACACTCGCACACAAAAAAAAAATGTTTAAGAAATAAAAATTGCACAAATTAGCTGAGTGTATTGCCAACATGACTCTCTTGTTTTTTTGTTGCTTTTGGTG